AGCATTTCATACAAAGAAATTAGTATGGCACCCTGACTTCGTAGAGGAAGATACTTGAAGAAATACACTCACACTGTAGAAAATGAATGTCCTAAGCGCCACAGTTGTACTTTTGCTTCTTTAACTGGTTTGCATGGGAAGTGCCTTTGGTAAGCAGTGATACCCAAAAACGTTTTGGAGTCTTCACTCCCTGAGGATAGATTGATCTGACATGCAATACAGTCTAAAAGCAATAATGTCCTGGCCCACCCTTGCTGGCATTTACAGCTTCTCCCCCTTCTGACTGTGATGAAAACCCTCTGCCTGCGGGGGGGGGTGGCTGCTGCCTGGCTGGCATTGCTGAGATGTCCCAGCTCCTGTTACAAAGGTTTCTCCCACTCAGAGCTGTGCTGTCTAAAGCCTCATCAAGTGGGAGCACTGAGAGCAAGTGCCAAAAGCAGGGCTGTATCCTCCGAGCGCTGCCTGAGCAAGACAAGACCACATACGAGATACTTGATGGTCAGTTCATGCACACAGCTGAAAATTGCCCTCCTATTTGAAGGCATCTGCTCTGGTTTATCAGGAAGAATTATCACAGGAAGAAATTGTAAGATAGGGAAAAACATTCTCCCTTTCTCTTCCCTCACCGCTTCTCCACACACTTACCAACACTTTATACAATTGTGCTGCTTCATTTTAAAAGACAGCAATTTGTCCTTTTTCTCTGTGGAGTTCGAGAGAGAAACTTAATTTTTGTGTGGGAAAATATGATAGTGAAACATTACTTGGCAGGAAGTACCTGGAGCTACTCAGAATTTTAATGCTACGTTTGAAATCAAAAGCCTTACTTTAGAAAAAATAACAGACCTCTTTGAAGTATATGTACAAAAATTAATACAAATCCTGTGAGTTCACCTGTTGGTATAAGGGCTCCACACCTCCCCGGGCTTCCTGCCCTGGCAAAAGACAGCAGACCCATCCTTGATACCTCTGGGTAAAAAAAAGGGGAAAAAAATTAAAAATCTCTCTTCAGTCTCTTCAATTCCATGGCAAAAGCATACACTGGATGTACATTTGACATCCATGAAGAGTAGTAATGGAACTATAGATACTGAAGTTCAACATTGCAGATCACAGTGCTGATGCAAAGAAATTATTGTGGTTTCACAAAGAATTTATACACCTCTTCTGCCTGAATATTGTCACTGTAGAAAATAATCGCTAGGAGCTAAAGCCCCGAGGCAACGCATATTCTCTGTTGTGCAGGGAAAAGGCTACGCAGTGGTGTTAAAAACCCTGGATGTCTACTTAGTGTTGAGTCAAAGCTGGCTTAGGTTCGCAGCTGGAGGCACTCCAGTCTGCTTCGTAGTGACAGCGATACTCCGTGAGTGATGGGACCCTTCAGAGCGCCCGGGGAACTGGCAACGCGCAGCTCTGCGTTAGCCAGCGTAAGCAAATACCCACTGAGTCAGTCTTAACTGGTGCAGGTTCCTTTCCCATCTTGTGTATCCTCCTGGGGAACGTCATGCTAGTAAGAGCTGGAAAGCGTTCGTAGGCTTTCAAGAGCCAGAATTCGCTGTGAAAGCACAAACCTCTAACAGCTCTTCCATTTTGTAGAAAAATAACCCAGCCTCCCGCTCTGAGGAAGTACACCTTCCTTTTCCTTCCTGACCATTCTCACACCGACTCATTTTATCCCGTCAACTGTACGATGAGATTTGTCTTTGTGAAGGTTGGCCATATGTAGCTCTGCACCCGTCACCATCCTTGGGTCCAGGGCCACAAAGTGACTCGGGGTTTGCCGTGCCTTCAGGTTAGGCACCCAGCTCCAAGACGGTGACAATTAGGTTGAGGTGTCCAAGTTTACTTCAAGTCTTCCCCTTCGCTGTGGGGTATTGCAAAGGGCACCCACTGTAGAGAAATGCTGAACAGAATGACAATGGAAGGGAGCAGTGCTTGAAGCAGCCCAGAGACAGGAATTCAGGATTTCTCTTTGGTGGGAGACTGCCCTTTTCACAGGAGTACACTCCTGTCCTCTCCTGTCTGTACTTTTTGGTCCCTCTTGAATCCTTTATTCCTTGCGTGGTGGCCCAAGCCACCCAGGCCTTCTGTGGGAGGAGTGGCAGAAGTGGGGGAATGGCAGAAGACAGCTTAAAGTCATTTTCCCGCTTCCTGGCAGAGTGTCTAACCATTCCATATAAAGCATGAAGAACTAGATCTCCTTTGCTGACAGTTTCATTCAGAAATAATCTAAATGCTGTGCAGTGTGCTCACCCTGGGATAAAGATGCTTACTGGATCAAGGCCCTTGAGGATTTAGATGCAAGTGTGCCTGACTAACAAACCTGAAATGGGTGGAAGAAATAAAAACGTACTATGAGTTTCAGCACAGTCCAAATGGTGGTTCTCATTGGCTTGTATAGGAGCAGAACGTCGGAAGCGGAGAAGTACCTAGGGGTGTGTCTTGTGAACCTGTAAATGTTAGACACCCAAGTTCTGCAAAAGTGAAATTTAATCGTATAAAACCTTTCGAGTGTGGGTGTCACTATCTCTTCTCTTTATACACAGTGAAGTAATGTGATAAGGTTCTAGTCTCATGAAATAGGAGCCAGTTGCTTCAGAGAGGTAAGGCTTTACTGAATTGGGCTACTTACAGAATAAGGTACAGCGCTCCACAGGTAAGATGGTGAAATTTTGCTTCGCGGTTAAACGTTTGCCTTGGTTCTGCTTTGGGAATTCCTCACGCAGCATGTGGCTAAGCTCTGGGACTCCCTGCCTCGGGACACTGCATGCAAAAAGTTTACACAGGTTTAAAAGGCAAGTGGATAAACTAACTGAGGAAAAACCCACGAAAAGCTATTAAGTGCAAAGGCAGCACTTTTGGTGCAGGAAAATGGCAATCTCTGTGTCTGTCTCCTCCCCTCCCTCCAATCACTACATTCCTGCCCTGTTTTATTACTCTTTCTGAGTCACCTGCTGCTGGCTGTATCAGAAAGATGCCATTCTAGATACAGCCTTAGACTCATCCTCTGCAGCAGTTCGTACGTTCCTGTGCAAGGGAAGTTTCAGACTGAAAGTCAGTTGTAGCAGCAGCAGCACAAACACAGTTTTCGGCAGAAATACGCCTGCCGTGATTTCCCTTTGCTTAACTCTATTGACTTCACAAACGTTACTCTTGCTGTGCTCTAGTGTGAGGTCAGGCTGAGGCATGCTCCCTTCCTTCAGGAACAACAGAGTCTACCAGAAAAGTCTAAGGAGATAGAGAAAATTACTAATTCCACAGGAAAAATTAAATTAGGACTGTGGCAACCACTGGAATTTTTTTTAGCGTTAAATTCAAGGAGCCTGACTTACGTAAGCAATCTGATTGTTCAGGGAGAATGCGTTCTCCATTACTCTCTTAGGCTGGTTGGTTTCTAGACTGTAAAATAAGCAAATTTTTTACTGAAAAATTTCAAAAGACATCAGTACAATATATGCTTATGTCAGTGCTCACAAAATCTCACTCAGCTCCAGTTTGCTGAAGCTGCTGAGTACAAATGGCTGCAAATAAGACTTCCAAGATGCACAGACACGACAAGTGTGTCAATATTTCCATAATAGTTGTCACATAATTTGTGAAGATCTGTTAATCCTTAAGCACTTGATGTGGCTTTAAACTGTGGGGATTTGATGGACTTCATTTTTGTAATCCTGTGGTAGGGACACTGCATCTTAAAAATTCCTTTTTAAATTCTGTTTCCTCAACTGTTTTTCCCCTATGAATAAACTTTTCCCCCTTCTACTTTCCCATTTTATTTTCTGAATAAAAGTTTAAGAGTTGAATGTTCTTTTCTTTGCTTATATCGTATATTGATTATTCTTGGCCCTCAACCTGTTCTAAACAATAACCACCAAGAATTTTTCTTTTTTTTTAAAGACACTATCAATCTTTAATCCTTATGCACTAGGACAAATGTCTTCTAAACATTGAAGATATATATTTGTAGTCACTTATAAAAGAGTTTTAACTAGCTATCTTGCACAAATCTGCCTATTGATTGAGTTCTGCTCAAAGCAGTTTTAGAGAAGCCACAATTTAAAATACCTTTAAAAATTCACCAAATAAGTGGACTGTAAGTCATACTGCACTGGTGCAGGCCAACAGTCAATGTCCCCTTGTGCTAAATGCTTTGAAAACACATAGAAATTAAAGTTCTCTGAGCCAATTTATGTTTGAAAGGGATGATACCCATCGATAAGTGTTCCAAGAACAGATTGCTGGGGATCTCAAAACTGCTGCCAGCCGATACATTAACGGACTTGGTGCTGCGCCTGAGGACTGGAAACGCTGTGTTCAGTGCGACGGGGGTTCACAGGGTTGGCTGTCGTGTTCGGAAAAGATAACGTTCCTTGCCTTGGATCAGGCTTTTCTACCCCTTGTGCAGGGAACATCTAAACACTGAGGGATGTTCTGGTACAGCCAAGCGGTGTGATAATTAGAGGAAACAGTCACCTTGTTTTCACTCTGTCGTTGCACAGCTTCCTACAGGCTAAAGCTGTGTGCCTGTGGTTGTCTTTCTGAAACAGGAAAGAATGTTTGATATTTGCTTAGATCCTGAAAGTAACTGAAATGTTTGAAGTTCAGGAATGGGTGTCCAACAAAAAAAACCGAAACAAAACCAAACAAAACCCACTAAAACCGAACAACAAGCAAACAAAAATATGAATAATTTAGGTCACAAGGGACTTCTGGAAGCCACATAGTCCAACTGCTGCTCAAAGCAGATACAACTAGATCAAACGGCATTGGGTCTTATCCAGTCCAGTTTTAAATACCTCTACAGATAGAGTTTCCACATCCTTCCTAGACAATTTGTTCCTATGTTTGGCCAAGTTTGTGGTGAAAAAAATTTCCTTGTATCTGATTGGATTTTCCCATATTGCAACTGGTGCCCATTGCCTCTCACCGTTATCGCTGTGCACCTTCCAGAAGAGTCTGAACCCATCGTCTCTATAGGCCTCTGTTAGGTATTTGATGAAATGGGCCAGCACAGGCAGGTAGGTCAGCTTGGCACTTCAGAGACAAGCTGGAATGAAACCAGGTAACGGTATAGAAGATCTGGGATTATTTGTTTGTTTGTTTTCCACACTGATTCCAAAGGTTCACAGAATTGCCTAGATTTCTGTACAGCCACTCCAATGTGTCTACATTAAGGCTGTACCCAGGGCTAAACTGTAACAGTCACTCTATCACCAAACAACCCCTCACCAGCCAGGGAAAGGAATCGGGGGAAAAAGGAGAGCAGACCTGTGGGTGGAAGCGAGAACAGGCTTCACAGAGATAACACCAATACCCACAGAGGGGTCCAGAGTTATACTCACCCAAATGACTCTCCGGTCCTCAGGAGCAGGGAGTAGCCAGAGGAGGCACAGAAGAAACCCCAGCAGGAACCCCACAGGAGCTCCCCTCTCCTCAGCAAACCTTCCCCCTTTATACTGACCATGACATAACGGGATGGGCTGCCCCTGTAGCTCACTCAGCTCAGCTGCCCTGGCTGGCTTGAGCCTCCCTAGCACAGCTGGGCTGGGATTCTCTCCCAGCCAAACCAGGACACAATGAAAACCACAGAGCAAAAGAAAATGCTCTGTAATTTTCAGTCTGGCCTTGTGCATAATGAGAATAACCCAATTAAAAGAGCGCCAGTGGCAGAAAAATACCCAGCGAAGATTTCTCCAAAAAAACCGCCCCTGGGGGATTCTGATCCAACATGTAGATGCTGGGAGTGGGTATGGAAAGGGGAGGAGGCTGCTAAAGCTGTGGGCCCTGCTGCGGTCTGTAGGGCAGCCCAACGGTATCCATTGACACAGGAGCTTTGAGATACAGCAAAGGTTTCAATAACCCTTGTAGCAACTCGGCGTTAGAAGGGACCAAAAAACCAGTTTATATCCCCCCAGTACTTGTTCTGTGGGCTGCAAGAGTCAGAACGCTGTGTTTCAAGAACAGCCCTCTGGGAAGGGAATCCATTTGCTTTCCAATGGAGATGTCCCACAAAGGGAGACGTTAAGACTTGAAATTTGTGTTATTTCAAATATAAAAAATGAAGGGGAAACATAAAATATCCCAGTAATCTGTCACACATTCGTTACGTATCATAGGAGGAAAAGTGCTTACCTCCCTTGGTGTCCCACTTAGAGCTTACAATGCGCAAGCAGAAAATATCACTGCATTAGTATTCCTTGTGGAGATCAGATTTGGTACTTCTGGCTTGGAGCTGAAGTGCTCCATTGCTGCACCAACAGAGACGGAACAATTTGGGACAAGCAAAAGAAGGAAATAAGATACTTTAACCAAGTGATCTCTTCAAAGCAACCCTATTAGAAAGATACGGGACTGTGACGCCTATTTTTAGTAAGGAATCGTATTTAAAGCCTAATGTTAATCTATCCTCTTGGCCAGTTAATACCAAACATAATTAATGCTAGATGTTTATTTAACAAAAGCTGACAACAAACCCTTTTGGTACTAAGCAATGGTAGTCCCAGTCGTTTAGTGCGACAGAAAAGCTTCGAGCTTTCACTCGTAGCTATACCACAAAGTTCCACTACAAAGTGTTTGACGAGAACAAATGAAATTTAAACACCATCACTGTATTTTAGGTTTTGCTAGCCTGCTGCAACTGGACTTTGAACCGCCTGGGGACTTTTCTGCTTGGCTGTTGATTACAATCATAATGACTTTTGCCAAAGTGATTCCGTTTGATCACAGAAATAAACCGCT